AAATTTATAAGTACTATTTAGATAGCAATTGGTCATTCTGTTGTTTAATTGTGAATCCACACCATTGCCATCAAACTCTATTATGTGAATCATGCATTATAAATCAGCAAATGACATATGATGCTTCACATAACCTTATGTAAATTTATTTGCTTATCAAATTCGTGTTACCTGTTGGATGTAAGTGGTAAGTTTATAAAATTTGTTTGATTTTTCGTCTAAAAGTTTTAGTTTTAACCTTAAAGATCGTAGCTTTTTGTTGTAAAAGGTTAAATATTTCACCTTTTAGTCTGAAAAGTTTTTTGTTTTTTGAAGAAACCAGTTGAAAAACGAAGACACACATAAGTGAATCTAGATTCACTGCAGTGAATCCAGATTCAGTATGTGAGGTGTTTGTTTTTTACCATACAAATCGTAATTTTTTGCTGTAGTAGCTTGAAATATTTTCATGGTTTAAAATTTTATAGCTTGTTTTTTACCATAAGTTTCTTATTCTTTTTGTTTAAAATTTTATACCTTGTTTTTTACCATAAGTTTCTTATTCTTTAATATAATCCAGATTCAATGGAGTGAATCCAGATTCACTCAAGCGATAGCTTGGATGGTTAGGATGGTTTTTAATGAATTGTTGCAGATTTGCTATTGTTTGATAACGAGTTTCAGTCCACTGAATCTGGATTCAATTCAGTGAATCTGGATTCACTCCAATGAATCGAGCTTTAATATAATCCAGATTCAATGGAGTGAATCCAGATTCACTCCAGCGAAAGCTTGGATGGTTAGGATGATTTTTAATGAATTGTTGATGTGTTCTTCATGCGAAGATGAAAGATCAAAGCTTGATAGAAGATGGAAGTGAGTTACAGAGAGCAGGAAAAGTGAGTTAGAGAGAGAAATGGGGAAGTGAAAGGACGTAGCACGTTGATAGTAAGAGAGAGTATTAAAGGACGTGTTGTATTTTTGGTTTTAATCATTATCTCCAGTTTCCAATGTTGTCAGCCACCATTAATGTAGTGAATTGTTCCAATTTTACCATTTTCACATTAATGATGTGTATTAAATTTGTCTATATTTACAATTCTGCCATCGAAATGTAGGCCATTGGATTAGATAGATTGGAGGGTTAGGATTGGTTTTTAGTTCTCTCTGTTTTTATTAGAACCTCCCTATTCCAATTTTACCATTTTCACATTGTTTTTTACAGCTGATGTGTATTAAATTTGTCTATATTTACAATTCTGCCATCGAAATGTAGGCCATTGGATTAGATAGATTGGAGGGTTAGGATTGGTTTTTAGTTCTCTAGGTTTTTATTAGAACCTC